CCCGCCGAGGGGCGGGCGGTTCGGCCGGGCCGGGCCGGGCCCGCCGCGCTGAGAGCCGCCCCGCCCCGGCCCGGCCGCACTTACGCAACGGCCGCGGAAAGTTGGAGCCGCGCGTGGGAGCGGGGACTGCCCCCGCACACCATTCCCGCCCCGGGAGGCTGTTCCCTTCACACCATTCCGGGCTCGGGAGGGCTCTTCCCTTCAGACCGCTGCTTGCGGGGGGGAATGTTCCCCGCACAGCATTCCCGGGCCGGGAGGCTGTTCTCCGCACACCGTTCCCGGGCCGGGAGGCTGTTCCCTCACAGGGCTCGGGGCCGCGGGGACCGTTTCCCTCACACCGTTCGGGCGGGGGCGGCTGTTCCCTCGCGCCGCTGCCCGGGCGGGTCCTGCTCCCCTCACAGCCTGCGCGGCGCGGAGGGGCAGCCCGGCTGCGGCTCGGCCCTCCCGGCTCGGGGAGCGGCCTCGGCCCCTCCGCGGCGGCGCCCGCCCCGTGCTGGGGTCCGCTCCATGCTGCTGGGTCCGTTCCGTGCCGCGGGGTCTGCTCCGTGCCGCAGGCGCCACGGCCAGGCCCGGGGCAGCGCGGCCCCTTGGCGGCGGCCCGCAGCGCGAGGGTGCTGCAGGCCGGGGCACGAGCGGCCCGGTGCAGGTGCCCCGGTGCCCACGAGGCCGCTGCTYGCAGCGCGGTGCTCCGTGCGGGATCACCCCCTGAGTCCTCGTCTGCGCATGGAGCATTTGGGAGGGCGGCACTTGGGATCACTTGGGAGCGGTGCTGGGGTGACCCCAAGGCTGCTGGAATTCCCTGGTTCCGTCTGTGGGTATAATGCTGCAYACTGCCCAGCCGGAGGCTGCTTTGGACTCGGGAGCCTGTTATGTCTTTATGGCTGTTCACATACAGATATTGGAGTTCACTGTGCAAACGTGTCTTTATTTTACTAACATACATCCTCATTTTATTTCTGCAGTCTACACTCGCTGCAAAATACGCTGATAGAACACAGTATCCTTCTTGCTAACCAGGATCTGGACTTAGAAAAGTCCAGGTAAGCCTTTTCCTCTGGTGTCTTGCTTATTTCTTGCCATGAGAAGACACATGACCTATTCTGAAACTAATTTGGCTTCTCCAGCGTCAAACTAGGGCCTGAACGGTTCTTATCCCTGGATTTGATGCTGTTTCAGGTTGGTTCTGCAGATGGTGAGATTCACATTTCAAGTCTGACTGTGAACTCTGCATTAAACTTGGATCTGGGGAACAAGAGTTGCTCTTGCATGTGCATTTCCTGATTGCCTTGCTCCAGCAAGATGTTGTCATTTATTTATTTTTCCTCACATTTCCTGTTAATGTTTCCACTGGCTAGGCAGATCTCCTCTGTGTATTTTTTTGGTACATCTGCTGTATTTCTGATCAGGAAACTTAGTACTCCTGAGATTTGTTTACACTTCCCTTCCCCGAGAATTTTCCCTGCTATCTTTTGTACCATTCTTCTGCTGCTTCCTTACTGGGTCACTTGCTAGCCTTTTTACTAGCTCAGACAGCTGTGCTAATTACAGCACCTGCTGCAGGGTTATGCACATATTGCATATATATATATATATGTTTCTGCAATTTCCTTGTTTAAAATCCTTCTATATTAGAAGTATGTGTGGCTATTGTGCAGATTATGATCTGAGCATGGGTGCTTCTTCATGTAGCCTTTACAACTGCTTTTTTGCTTCCTCCAGGCCTCTGCATCCTTGGGTATAGGGAGATCCACCTACCTATTGCATTCCTTTCCAAGTGACAGGCCAATTAAAAACTAGGCTCTAATAGCCTCATTCATGCTGACATCTCATCTAAATTAATTAGACTACTTCCATGAGACATATTACGTCTGATGAATAAGTATATACCCAGCTGTTTTAAACTTAAGCTGTAATATTTGCTCTAGCTATAACCATATTCTAAGACGAGATACTAGGATTCCGCCTCTATAATTTACAGCACCTTTTATTTTACTACTTAGTGTGGTCTAAAGCAACTTAATCCATTCTCATAGTACAATTGCTATTAGAAACAAGTAACTTCCTTCCCAAAGTGTAGAAATATGACATGGCTACCTGCTTTTATAGACAAAGATTCAATACATTCAGGTCAAAACAAGACAATTGTGCTCAGTTGGATTAAGTAATTAATCTAACCCACTTGGATTGGTGATTGGATCCTATTGCATCCAATTGGATCCAGTTTGATTGGATTAAGTGATTAAAGAACATAACCATGAATATGTCATACACAGAATGCCTCCTTGTCAAGATATTTTTCTTCTAATCACATGTATTGTAACGTGAATGTATCTCATTTTTATGTGCTGTTCAGCTGTTCTTGCACAGTACCGAAAATCTGCTTTTCAACTGAAAGGTCTGTAAAAGTGCTTGTCTTCAAGTGTACCCTCTTAGTGCATCTTCTAGCAGCAATTTCGAGAGCAGCATCTATATTTCAATGGAAAGCCAAGCCCAGAGTAGGTGCACTGTTGAAAATACCCACAGATAATGAGTATCCAAATGTGTAAAAAGCCAAAAATACAACTGTGTTGTAGTTTTAATCTAGATCCATTCCCTTTTGTATCAAAGTCTTGCATACATTAACATTTTTTGGAGAAAGCCTATGTAGGTGAAGATGTATATGTATATATCTTAAGAGAAAACATTCAAGGTTTCTTTGAAAAAATCTCTTTCTGGGTAAATGACCAGCAATTACACAGTACAGACCAAGGAGTGTGCAGGTTTTTCCCCTTTTGTGTAGGCGTGCAGTATATACAGAGACGTTTGGTAGTTATTAACTGCATCTACCTGCTTTCATATACTTCAGTAAAAAAAATCCAAAAATAAAAACAACCAAAAATAAAAAATACAATTTTATTTCTGCAAAATAAATAACAGGGAACAGAATAAAATGCATAATATGAAGTTTTGCTTTACAAATGCTTATATACATGCATTCTCACTTTAAAAAACTTTTGTGTGTATGTGTGTGTTGTACTCTTGTAACAGTTCTATAATTATTTTTCAAGGAACTTTTTTTCTGGAAAGGTGCACCTCAGCAAACATGTATTTTTAAGCGAATGGATCAATGCTTAAGATTCCATTTCAATCTCTGTGTGCTTTATAGCTCTTTATTTTTCAGGTAGCTAGAAGCTAGACTTCGGCTGGTGCTTCAGACTGTGTGCAAAGCATATCCCTTGTCGGCCAATCTGATGTGGGCTGTTTAGTACGAAGACCTGGTGTATATTACAAAGTTTCACCAGAATAGCTATGTCAGCATATACCCTCCAGCCAACAAAACCTCTAGTGTGGACATAGTCTGCTAGCAAAAAAAAAGGGCTCCTGTCAGCTTAGTTTATGTTATTTTATAAGTTGATGTAATTTTGCTGGCAGGAAACCTACGTTAACATCTATAGTAGATGACTGCTCAGACATTCACTTCAGAAACAGCTGTGCTAACCAGAAAATGGTTGCAATGTTTGTCTCAGAGGTTGTTCGCCTTCCTGGACAGCCAGCAGAATGGGCGCTGCTCATGCAGACCGGTACCGGGTCGCGCTCACATGGCCTGCGGCAGCGACCCRGCCCGTCCTGCAGCATCTTGCAGACAGCTGAGCTCGCGGCAGCTGCTGCCACCCTCCACGCGCCTGGGGTTGTTGCTGCCACCCCCAGCCCCGCCACTGAGATGACAGTGGAACAAAACAGGCACACAGTACCTTCAGTTTGGCTCAGGTACTGTAAACTGCAGAGGAAAATGAGCTGCTTATGCAGCCGGCTTGACACATAAATGAAACAGGAAATAAATTCACATTCATGGTAACATCTAGAGGACAGACAAACAGCTAGTTTATAGGACTTAAGAGTTACTCAAGACAGATCTGGGACATGAATTTTGGCCAAGCCGTGTGGCATAAATAAATCTTAAAACAGCAATGTAAAATAAACTGGAACCTGGTCTACTTTAGTATTAGAAAAAAGAAGTCTGGATTTGGAAAAAAAGAAAAAAAGTTTGTTATGATTTTGTTGGAAAAGAGTGGTTTTGGAATGGTTATGTCTGTCTGACTCCGTCTGTGAACATTGTTGACTAAATACCTAAATAATTACTGTGCTCACAAGACTAAAATACACAGGAGTAACGATAGAGAAAAAAGATGTTAGAATAACTCTACGAACTTTAGCAATAGAGTAACATAGAGCAGCACTGACAGTTAAACCAGCATGAAACATGTTTTTGCTAGCATAACTAATGTAATTTCTGGAAAGATATGGTAATATTACTTTTCCTTTTTGTTAGTACAAGGTGCCGTGTACATGGAGATGGTTTTATGATGCAGTTTTGGCAAGGACACATAGCTAATAGCTGAAGCACAACAGCTTCCATGCTTTGGGGAGGGTCTTCCAGTTTTCGTTTCTTGTGTCCTGTAAAGAGGTTGTGATTTGCTGAYGCTCAGCAGGACAACTGGAAACAGCCTGATTGTTCTGGCATCCTGCTACTTCTGTTAGCATAAAACATACTAGTTATGTGAGAGACTTGTTAGGCAAATATAAAATAGAAGGAAAAAAGGAAGAAGTGCCGTGTACTCTCTAGCACATCTTGAACACAAGTTGTTGTCTGCAGTCATTTACCACTGTGTTTTGCACTTTTCACCCTCTCTAGCAAAGATAAGGGCTATGTGACTAATGAGTCCCTTGTTACACATGCATAATTCAAATGAATTGCAGAATCTTCTACTTCTCCTAGAAAGCAGAAGCAACGGGCATGCTATTTCTCATTTTCAACATGGATTTTCTTTTTGTCTGGAAAGTCCTCCTCCGTAGTAACTTTTGAACCTCAGTGGGACACAGAGCAGGGATGAGAGGGAAATTGTTTCCCTAGGTGTTAAGAGTAAGTGTTCAATGCCCAGGTGATAGCAGTGCCCCTCTCTGGTCAGCTGGAGTGGGCTGTGCGAGCAGGCTGACCAGGGAGAGCTGTTGTTCTTTAGCTGGTCAGAGCCCGGCAAACATTTCCCATTCATTAGCTGGAGGCTGTGCAATGAAGATATTGCCTAGTGCCAAATAGCAGAGGTTCTTCTCATGTGGCTACGTGGAAGAGCCACAGGTAACTACATCAGAACCAAGAGCTCCTGGCTTTGGTTTTATAATGGTGTGGTGTAGTATTCAGAAGTTACAAGGTATGGTTGTTTAACTAACTCAAAAAGGATTAGGAAGAAAATGTTTTATGGTAAAAAAACAGTGTAAAATTACTCAGAATGCATGCCTCCTCTGTTAAGATATTCCTTGAACAATTTATAAAACACATATGTTTTGCTTTATTGGGACTTTTTGATTGAGTCTGCTATGAGGCCATATTTTAGGCTTTTGCAATGCAAGATATTTAGATGACATCCCTTAAATCAGCCACATTTAGGAGGAAATTTGCTCAGCATCAGGATCCTGTAAGGAGGCAAAGATCACTGAAGACTATCTTCGTTAAAAGCATGCCAGCAGCTATTGTTTACCAAACCAAGACAAAAGACCAAGTCTCATGCTCAGGGAAACTTTGTAACTGGAGATCTTGTTCCTGTGCACTTTGTTGGGGCTGCAGACAGGGTTCTTGAAGCACTGGCTTTCTTGCAGATGTTCGGGGACATGTTCCCCTCCTCTGCTCCGCCAGACTGCTCGCAGTGCTCTGCTGCACGGCCATCGCTGGCCGGGAGGCTGCGCTGGGATAACGGGGTGCCCGGCGCACTGGGGAGCCAGCCGAGCTGGGCACAGYGGCCTCGTGCCCGGGGCATGGGGTGGGTGCCCCAAGGGGGGGCTCACACTGAGCCCCTCAGCAGGGCTCAGCATCCGACAGCAGCCTCCCCAGTGACAGACCTGTACACCTTGCACATTCTTCAGTTTATAGGTTAGAAGATACATTTGTGCATAGAAAAGTATAAACAATGGTGATTTTTAAAGATTGGACATGTTGGATTATTAAACAATTTCTGAAATTCCTAAAATCCTCATAACAGGTTTTGTGTCAGAGCGTGGATCTTCACTGAGGTACTTCTGTAAAGCTTTCTTGAAGCACTAGGTCAAGGCTTCTGCTGAAGACATAGCTCAAAGTCCAGAATTCTTCTGTTGTCCTGTGGTGCCCCTACGCAGACAGGCCGGCTGTGTAAGGCAGGCTTGTGTGCAAGCCCGGGAGTTTCCTCACTGACACAGCTCTGCTGTTTTAGTATCTGTATAGAACACTAGGAATGTTATTGCTTTGAATGTTCACACAAACACACTGCGGAGTAAGATGCAGAATCCATTAAGTGAAATTATGTTAAATTCTCTTTTATAAAGTTTCATTTTTTAAAAGCAAACAAACAAAAACCTAACATTTGAGAGCTGTGGATAGGAAAAGGAATTGGAGTAGGTTAAGAAKAATGGAAGATTCTTATCTATTTAGTGTTGAAAAAATATTTTGTGTACTTTGCAGCTTATTTGTCACTATGGCTCATCTCTTAACCAGGGGAAAATCTGAATGCCACTATTAAGAGCCAACAAGCTTCAGTAGTCTGGTAAATGAATTGAATGATTGCCTGTCCTTAAATATCTATAATAACATGTACAATTCATAAAGGTCATGATCTTGGTAATTCTAAAATAGATTATTTTGTTATACAATCACTATAAAAAATGYAGTAAACCCTGTCCACTATTCCATTTTTAAATATTATCAGCAGTTCTTCTGCAAAATACATTGAAAATAACATACAACCCAGAACCGTAGAATAGGAATCTTCTATTGATACAAATAACCTGATGGGTGAGTGAAATTTAAATCTGAAATTTCACCCACCCAAGATAAAAGTGCAGTGCTCCAACAGCCACAATCTATATTTAACTTGAGAATAAAATCAGCAACAGTATTAAAAAAAAAAAAAAAAAAAAAAAAGTGCCGTAACTGCCCAGAGCCCGGCAGCACAGCCAAACACAGACAGGAAACTTCCTTCCCTTTATTTAGCTAAGTAAGGAGCAGTGCAGTTTTACTCATGGAGTTTTGCCAGGTTATTCCTAATCTTGGATTTCCTTTCCTGCACACCACCTATTGTTCACATTACAGAGTCACAGTATAGGAAACAGGCGTTCTTGCACAAACTGGAACTGGAAAAAAATCACAGTTTGTACCTTTGAGTATCTATACGGACACATTTCATGCAGTGTTAAAAAGGTCTAATATATTTTAGCATTTTAACGCTGAATTTAAAATTTAGGATTTTTGTCTTAAAGATCAATGATATTTCTGTTATATGAGAATCATAGCATTTATTCAAGGCCTAATCCTAACATTCAGATACTGATTTATTTACATATGCCAAATCTGTTTAAAGAAAAACACTTTCCACCTATAATTTGCAGAMCTTGTGATTAATTTGAAAGACAGCTAAAAGGTGCAGGAGTGTTCAGTCTGGTACATTAAAAATATGCAAGAAAGAAAGGTACTGGCAAAGGTACCATGAAAATAAAGCTTGTAGTGAGTGTACTTTTGAGGAGGGGCATTGATTAACAACCAAATTTGGATAAAAATACATGTATTTTATAATTTGGACAGTGATTGTAAGTCATTAACATGGACTTAAAAAAAATGAAGAAAGGCACTGCTGCTTTAGTTAATGATGTAAAGAATGTAAGTGTTTTAACAACAGCAAACAAATGACATCATCTGCTGCAAGAATCAGATTATGTCATATCATTTGCTTAACGGACTAGCAAATTAATTGGCAGATTTAAGAAAACAAACAAAAAACGCAAAGCAACCAGTGTGTTTTATAGTGGTTTGAAATACTACAAGTTTTAATTCTTTCAGTTAATATGGATCATGAATTTGGAAAATACAAAGTGAGATAAACTCTTGTCTTGATACTATAAACAATTTTTAATGGGGCACAAGCACTGAGAATAATTGCATAGTGTAGTTAATACTTCGTGGATCAAAACCCACAAACTTTCTGCCCTCTGCTGCTTATACCAGTAAAAAATAAACAGATGTACAAAACTGTGTGGGATGCATACAGCTAAGGAGCCAACCTTAGCTTTTGAAAATGTCACCTCGTTTATGTTTAGAAGTCTTGGGACACTTACTGCTTTATGCACTTGGGCCTCTGCAGCTCAGTGAAATTCCCTTGAACTCGGTGGACTATCAAAAACGTGACAGGGACCTATTCACAAATTACACACTTTATTAAGCCGGAAGTTTCCTGACATTTACATCATAATTGCAAGATAGTTCTGTGTTAACTAGCTTGTGGATTAATATGTAAAAGAAATGTCAAAACATATTATTCCTTCAGCATTTTTACATTTAAAAGAATGTGTGAGATCAGAAATGACGTGAAGGTTAGACATACACTGCTTTAAAAAAAATGGAAAAAATAATCCTCCATACACAGTAAAGCATGCACCCCAAATTCAGCTCATCCTAATCACACTCCAGTACTTTATGACACAAGAGGATCTGTGGAAAGCAGTGCTATTATACAAGTGCATATTATCATCAAATGCTCCCTTCATCAAAATGACATGGAAAATAAAGCTGAGAGAGGCACTGAGAGGTCATCTATTCCATATCATGGTTACACAGCAAAGCCACTTTATCTAGGCACATTGCATATGTCAGTCCAGTCCAGTGCAAAAGCACCCTATACTTTCCAGAAGTTATTAACAGTTATTTCCCATGTTCATGTAAATAATGCCACTGTCAGCAGAGCAAATCTGATGAGTCACTTTAAAATAAAAACTCATTTCTTAAGAGGTAAGTTGACACGTTTTTTCCTTTTATAAAAGCAAGACTCCCTTCTTGCAGACTTGCAAAAAAGAGAGTCGCAACCTCAAATAAAACTTTGCTTTTAATCACTAACTGGAAGAGCAAATAAGGTTTATTAAACAAAAAAGGTAGATTAATATTTATAAACTATTAAAATTGTGGTATAATAATGTCACATACTCTAGTGATTTCTATAAAGCAGTAGCAAAATCGTGAGAGAAAACGAGCTGTCTATTGTAACTTTAGATGTCACTTTTCATTTGTATAGTTTACATTCAAAATGAAAAATCTAGATCCATATGAGAACTCTTATTTTAGCACTATTTATAGGGTGCTGAAGGAGAAGATGTGTTTTCAGACTCTTAAGCTTCAGTTGCATGACAAAAGAGCATTTTATACAAATGGAGTGATTGCAAGATGGGTAATTCCAAGCTGCAGTTACGTCAATGGCAGTAATGGCATTTGGGGCACTACACTCAGGGAAGCGAACAGTGTTTGCCATGATGCCAGCTAACTTTGGAAACCCTTTTCACAAAACATTGAAGAAATAGGTAAACATGCTCAGATTCACAGGGCATTAGGGAGATGAGTTATGAAAATCTAGGATTCAGAACCCCTTGTATTTGGTGCTGTGAGTTCTGGACTATTGCTATACAAAAGAGAGTGGTATGGAGTAAAGAGAAAGCACTGGCCAGCCTATGTAGAGGCTATTCTTGTATTTCACTTAGAAGTGAAATACAAATACATGTAAAAGTAAATATAAAAATATAAACCAATTACATGAAAAAAACCCACATCAGACGTGTGAAGCAGAAACATTTGATCACATTTAACTACCATGTAACGGAAGAGAAAAAACAACAGATGACAACCACATGTAATCATTCCACCAAAACTGAGACATAACTCGCATATGGTTCCTCCTCCCCATTTATTTTAGACAACAGCAGATCATCAAGGGACCTGCAGCATGATTCCCTAGAAAACTCCATAACACAACGGTCCTCCCCACACAGCCCTTTCAATTCCTTCCCAAAATAACAAATAAGTAGTAGCCCGTATCTTCTTAGACACCATTCAAGTGCAGTAGGCAGTGGACAAACCTTCATTAATGCAGATACCCTTGTTAGATGGTCAAGTGGTATCTAAAAAGAGTTGAGCTCTCCTAAAACGTTGATGAGAGCACTGGCATGGGAAGAACTTTCCCGTGCCACGGCAGAACCGCCACAAGACGATGGGGATGGCAGGGCCACAGGGCGGCGCAGCCTTGAGATGGACAGCACCGGGCGAAGGGAAAGGACCCTTCCTGTCTGCTTCATGATTATTTTATTTCAAACAGAACCAAGACAAAAATCTGCTTGATAAACATAATACACGTGTGGCTTTATACAATATTGAAGCAGCTCTACTTAATAGAGGAAAGTTCTTTAAGTATACTCATTTAGAGCTAAAGAAACACTAAATATTGCATGCTGAACTGTATGTACAGGTAAAGTAACACTACCTACCTATCATATCAGGCAGCTGTGTAAAGTTAGCAGCTGTCTAAAGTTAGAAGACGTTCAGCTCATAATTACAAGGTCAAAATTCTGGCATAGGAAAGTTTTTCATGTGATTCAGGCATTTATTTTCCTCAAAATGTAAGTGAACGTTGTTTCATRAAGGACCTCGAGACAGCAGCATGGATCAGAGCTACTTCATGTTGCGCACTATTCTCCTGCAGTGGTTGCTCTTCATCTCCCCCAGGGCTTGTTCCAGCTGCCGAATCAGGTGAAGGAGGGTTGAAGGGTCCGTTTGCAGCACTTGGGCAGTCTGGTCCCCGTCCTCGCTGAGGTGCAGCTTCAGAGTCACCAAAGGCTTAATCTGCTGCCTTAAGCTTCTGCTTGCAAGCTGTTGGAGGGAGTCCAGGCAGAGTGGGGAAAGGAAACAAGACAAGAGAGACATGCGTCAACTTTCACATTTGCGGTTCAGGCTTGCAGGACTGCTTAAAAATCCTTTTAAAATAAAGATATGCATTATCTGTAATTTAGTTTGAGCATGAGGTAGTATTAATTCGCTCTAAACAACACACAGATTTGTGACAGTTAGAGGACGTGCAAGACAACGCATTTGGCGTATTTTACCATTTTGAAGTACCAATGGAGCTATGAGCTTAGTTTTCATAAAGCAACAAATCACTTGCATCATTATGTATCCTGTCCAGCTTTAGTTATGTTCTATACAATAACAACATTATGTCAAAATTACAAAAAAACACCCTGGTGCCTCAATTACCTTGGAATAATAGAAGTCACACTGATTTCTTCACAATTGCTTGCAATGTTGAAAAAGTAAAATGCAGATTAGTTAAAAAAAAAAGCAGTAAACAAAAGCGATTACCTGTACATCTAACCTCCATTCAAGATTGTGGTAACTGGGAAGCCTTGGTGCCAGCTCACTAAGAACACCTCTGATCTCCTTCCTGTTGTCAAGGTAAAGCTGAAGCAGTAGTTTGTTCAGTTCATCCGAGAATCCCAGAACATGGACAGAATCCTGGAAGTCTGTCTCGGAGATCTGGAAACAACAAGGTGCAAATACAAGGTTCAATACTCATTATTTACTGAGAAACAAGTACAACTGTCAGTAAACACCATTCACATGGTATGACACAATTATTTTCCTGCAGAAATTGCACAGCTAAGGAGAAAACAAATCACCTACGCTGCAAGTCACTTATATAGGTGGAGTCATTACTGTTAATTTGAACAAATTTTGGAAAGGGGTTTTAAATGTTTAGAAAAGGTTCAATAGCATCATGTCTGATCCTTCATAATAAAGAAGGAGACAAAACAGAAAAAAAAGAATCTTTAAGCTTTTGAAACATGTTTCTAGAAACGCAGTTGGTAAATCAATTACATCGATACCACAAATCAGTGGTATTGGTTTAATATTGATACGAAAGCTATAAATGGTGTGCAGCAAGCTGATTAACTCCAACCGCAAGCAGCCCGTGAAGCTGCACAGCTCAGAGCGGCCCTCAGGAGGCTTCTCCCCAGGTCAAAGCCTCTGTGATGCAATGGAGGAGTCTGCTTATTTACTCCATGGTGCAAGTTACACACCTGCAAGGGAGCGAATATTTCCCAGACAGCAAAAACATTCCATGATCACCTCTATTCTGTGATAAACCTGCAATAACCTATCTTTCTGTCGAGCCACCCTACTTCAACAGAAAATTCTGCACTTCATTTTCATCCCTATCTGTTCTCCAGCACAAGCAATGCCTGCTTGGAGTGGAACAGGAGCCACCTCTCTCTGCATCTCTTTCCCATGGTCTCCAGTGTCAACTGCGAGCAGTTTCCAAAGGAATCAGGCCTTACCAACGTGGCTCTCCCAGCACTGGCTCGCGCTGGTCCCCGTGGCCGGCAGGGGCCAGGGGCTCCCTGGCCAAAGCAGCAGTGGCAGCKGCGGCGCGGGGCTCAAGCTGTGCTCGGAGCTCCGGGCAGTGCAGGGCTCAGGGCGGTGCAGGGCTCAGGGCGGAACGAGGCTCCCTGTGTGTCCCCCTGTGCGCGCTCGGCCGCCCGCACACTGCCTCCTCTGCTGCCAAACCGCAGAGCGTTCCTCGTACCTGCTCTGCGGTCTTATTTTTAGTGTTAAAACAGTTGGGTCTTAGCTTTGAAGACTGACACAAACCGCAAACGAGCCAAGTCATGCAGGGTTTGTAAGGACAGAACTGCCTAAGGAACAGACATCACTTCCTTTCTAAAAGCGTAACCATTTTTAAGTGCAAACACGCTCGTCGGGACTGCGAGTGTCACCCAGGGGCGGCTGGGGCGCTGCTCACCATGAGCTTGGAGCTCTCGGCCAGGAGGAAGCTGAGCCCGTCCAGGCCGCGCTGCAGCGCCTCGGCGTCCACCGACAGGCTCCCTGCAAGGGAAGCGCAGGGCCGCACTCAGCCCGCGCCGCTCCCGAACCGAACCGAACCGAACCACCAGCCCGGCAGGAGCGACGCCAAGGGGCAGGCGCGGCCCCCGGCGGCATCGGGGCAGCGCCGCGCGCCCCCGCCCCGTGCCCCGCCCCATCGCGCGCCCCCGCCTTGCGGCGCCTCCCGCCGCCCGCCCCGCGCGGCTCTTACTGGCAGCGGTCTCCACGGCGCGCGGGGCGCCGCCGTGCCGCAGCAGCTCCAGCGCCAGCCGCCCCAGCTCGCCCGCGCCTGAAACGAGAGAGTCGACTCCGCTGCAGGCGGCTCCGCTGCAAGCGCCGCGCGCGCGGCCGCCCAGCCCCGCACCCCGGCCCCGCTCCCTCCGTGCGGGGGGCAGCGCGGCCGCACCTGCGGCGCCCAGGCTGGGCAGGCAGCCCAGGTGCGCGCGCTGCTCCTCCGACAGCACCAGCAGCATCGCGCCCGCCCCGGCCCCGCCGCGCACGAAGGCAGGAAGGGGCGGTGCCCGCCGCGGGGGCGCCGCCGGCAGCCGCCAGGGGGCGCCGCGCCCCCCCCCACCCCGTCCCGCCCCTGCGGAGGCGGCGCCGCCGCGAAGCCGCCAAAGGCTCGGGGCGCCCCCGCCTTGGGAGGGGGCGGGGCTCCACGAGGCGGGGCGGGGCTCCTCGCCGAGGGGCGGGGCTGCGCGCGCAGCCAGGCCTGGTCCCCGGGAGTACTTGGCGTTCCTGGCGCTAGTCGCAGCTAGGCCTCGGCGCAGGAGTTCGAGGCACGGCTGGTGATGCAGCAGAACCAGGGTCGTAGCAGGCGGCTGCACTCGCTGCTCTGTGTTTCARGAAGGGGCTCCGGAATGAGCGTGGTGTTTATCCCTGGCAGTGAGCAGAGCTGGAGGCGGCCTGCTTCATGATGAACAAACTTCATTTGTTCATGTGAACTCTTTGTACCCTGACAGCTTTCACCCCTGCTCCAGACCTCTAAGGCCCGCATGCCTCTTGCTCTGATGGTCACTGCATTTATTTTACTAATTTCCAATGTCCTGCCTGTATTTCCTCTTTTACAGGCTCCTAGAGGACCTGCTCCAAAGGCAGGAGGTGCTTTCACATACTACAGACCACGTGAACCTGTATGATATTCCACACTACTGCAGTTAAGCCATTTCTAAGATATGAGCTAGCAAGCTTAAGAGTGCAKTGTTGCYGACGTGGGTCGGCAAGCCTTGTTCGCCAGCCGGACTGACCTGGGGTTCTACCCACCCCAGAGCCATAGAGCACAGACACCAATATGGAGGATGCGGCAAATGGCGTTTATTGCTTTGTTCAGTCTGCCTATATACCCCCACAAAGCGTAGGAATTCACCTACTGCCCAATCAGGAGACTAACCTCCTCTGGGGCCATCAGTAGGGTATGCATTAATTATGCTCCTACCTTCCCRTGACATCGCGAGATCTTCCGAACGCCATTCCCTATGCCCTATGCTACACTACACCATTTACTTATGCTAAGCTCTCTACTTTATTGGGCCCTATAAGGTATGACAAATTCGTGACGAATTCCCACAGTGCAGACATACTCAAGTGGCTTAGCCAAGATTACCTAGGTACAGAAGTACCTTTATTGTACTGGAATTTCTGATTTCTCAGCACTATCTTCTAACGCATTCCCTGACATAAAACATACTTTGATTTGAAGAAAAAAAAATACACAAAACCAACTATGCAACATAATCCCTTCTGTTAAAGACAAAGAACTGGGTGCTCTTGGTTGCCTGGTTCACTTTGCTGGTTATTTGCAATTACTGCTGCATATTTCCTCTCTATTTACTTGGTTATTTCCAGCCTGAAGGGGACTGAATACTGACAGATCCCTTCTGAATTGCAGTGAGACTCACGTATTCTTGTAATTTGAAATCAACAGTCAACTGCAAGCAACCTTGGAATGCTGGAGCTAGTATTTGAAAGTGTGTGTGGGYGTGAGGTAAGTGTTCACAGAGATCGTCCTTGCGCAGTGTGTGGATAAAGCTGCGCTGCTTTGGATCTCCATTTCCYGTGGTTACCAAGCTATGCAGGGAATCTCTACAAATGGTCAAGTTTGGTCAATCAGTACTGAGCTTTCTGGAGGAAACGGAAATCTTCTGTCCAATTAAGGTGAAGACCTCAAGAAAAAAATTGTCTACTCTGTTCTTGGCAAATAGTTTTGCAGTTTTTTTTGCAGGTTTTTTGCAGGTTTTGCAGGTTATGACAATATATCCCTTGACTGTAGAAAACTGTTCTGCCCTGTCTCCTATCATAAGGCTTATTGACCAATGAATCTTCGAAGAGTTTTCAGTTAGCTAAATGAAATTTCAAGAAAGCCATAGGTATAACTGATTATCTTCCTGGACAGTACATACCTTAGATAATGAAAAGTTTTAGTGGATTTTTTTTTCCAGGAAATAGTACAGTAGTGAATCCCAGAAAGGATACCCTATATTTAATTGCATTTCAGGCAAGCTTCTTACCTCTATTAGGGCTGCTAATTGACTTAAATCAGAGATTAGAGACTTTTTGACTTACCTTGAAGAAACCAGTCTGAGATACGCATATATAGGCACACGTACWGGAGATGTGTAGGCACATAGGCACATGTTTGTTTAGGAACACAGTGCAGCAACCGACTGTGAAATCACCGCATAAAAGGCAGTTACCAAATATAACTTTTAAGTGAACGAAAGGAAGTCTGAAAGGACATCAAACGCTGGGAGGTGGTGGTCGGGGCGCACGGCGGAGATATCCGCACGGCTGGGGTGTGCGGGACGCGCAGCCTGTCCCATCGCGCCGGGAGGTCGCTGTCCGCCGGGAGCAGCCGCGCGGGGCGCCGAGCAGCGGCCAAGGCCGCGGCCGGAGCGCGCGGGGGAAGAGGCTGCGCGGAGGCAGCGCCGGGGGCCGGGGCCGCGCTCGCCAGGGGGCAGCGAGCGCCGCCAAGGCAGCCAGCGGGGCGGATGGTCCCGCACGGAACGCACCGGCCAGAGCGGACAGCCGCCCCGCAACGCGCCATGGGCGCCCCGAGGCCACGGCCATGGCGCCGCGCGCATGCGCGGCCGGGCCGCGTGGGCGGCACCCGCCGCCGCCCGTTGCTGCGCAGAACGGCTGCCCCTGCCCGGCCACCGTGAGGCCCCGCGCCCGCCCCCCGCCCGCCCCGGCGCTTCCCCGCGGCCGTTTCTCCTCAGGCTGCAGCCCCTGCCGCTCTCACGAGCGGGGCACCTGTCGAGTGACAGCCCGGACGGCCAATGGGCTGCGCCTCAGCCGGCGGCTCCGCCCCCGCGCGCGGGAGGGCGGGGCGGCGGTGGCGGCGCGCAGGCGCAGCGCGGGGCTGCGTGCGGGG